AGACTGAGCTTTTTTGTCTGTGTTTTTGTTGCTGTGAAATATTATGTCAGCTTCACTGCACCTGTGTTGAGCTATACATTTGTACCAAACTATATGTTTGGGTGTAAACTCATCAGCAGTAGTGAAAGAACACGGGATCACAACACAGAGTCCAGCCTCTGCTGTTAGTTCTTGCTCAGTGAGATTAAGACAGTATCCTTTGCCACAGTGTTCTTGCACCAAGGCAGAGGCACCTGTTAATGCAAAGGGAAAGATAAATATAGTGATAAAGAATATTTACTTTACAACAATAAACATGATGTCTAATTAAAGATATTGAAGTAACTTTTATCTTTTACACGGGCTGCTTGTTTGTGCTGTACTCCACAACTACTATAATGTTCTCATTTCACAGCTTATTATATCCAGGCTATGGAATCTCCCTGGATGTGCATCAACAATATCTCAGAACACGTTTAACAAAAGATTAAATTAAAATGGCACACGAGCCAATAGATGATAGTAAAGGCACAAATTTATGATGAACTGTGGGTAATAAAAAATTCTTATCATCTGGATACATTTCAGAAAAAGAGTGTTACATGCAATTATTTTAAAAAGTCAAATACAAATATAGCAGAATTACAGGACAAGATACAAACCCGTTTTAGCAATGCTTCCTTTTACAGAGACAAACAGAGCCGACCAGATGAGAACAAACATGTTCGTTGCTCGAGACGTTCAGTCTCTCCCTCCACAAAATAACTTATCCAGCAGATGAAGCAAAAAAGAAACCAAAACAAAAAATGCAATAAAGAAAAAGCCAACAGTTCACATCACACATCAAAAGAAAGATGTATAATATATATAATAGAATATAAATGTATATTAACTGCCAAATAAGAGGACAGCCTTGTAATATTTGATTAATAAATAATGGTCTTACTCACCATCACTGCTACAGATGTGAAAAATCTTTACATTTCTTCTTTTAAAAAGATTTTTTCAGCCACATTCAATTTTATTTTTACCTGTTTTACTTTGTTCTTCAAAACTTCTCTTCTCACTGATGACTGGTGACTCTCTAAACTGAAGTTTTTCATCCTCATCGCTCTTTTCTTTTTCTTCCTCCTTCTTGCAAAATGATTTCAGGAAGTTTCTCAGTAAACCACTCAACTTTACAGACTGACATTCAAGTTCCTCTGTATGCTATATATAATTATAACATTGTTTATTAAATAATTTACCTTTTTAAAACATAATGGTATCTTATTTTAACATTCCAATAATGATGCTCCAGCAAGTTTTATATTTTCATATCAGAATCGGAATCGGGATCAGAAGACTTTATTTATCTCCAAGGGGCAATTAACAAACAACCGAGCAGCATACGTGGAAGATAAGGACAATAAGAACAGGCAATAGAAGACAAATAATAAATACACAGAATATACAGAATATACAGTTTTAAAATTACACAGTTTTAAAATTAAAGTGACTGAAGGTGAATAAATAACTGCAAGTGACTAAAAGTGAATAAAGTGTCAGTAGTGTAAGAAGAATGTAGTTTATGTTTCTGGTGTGGGAAATGTTTTTATCGGCTGGAGTTAAAAAGCAGAGTGGCTTTGAGGACAAAGGTGGCTCTCCCTCTCTCAGTCCTGCAGGAGCCATTGAGATGCTGGGTGAAGAATGTGAGAGGGGTCGTTGATGATTTTGGCCTGTTGGCTGAAAACCTGTGCCAGAGTTCTGACAGGCAATTATTTTAGAGCACACTGATGGAGTGTGCTGCAGTCTGTTCCTGTTCTGAAGGCTGAGGAAGTGGAACCAGCAGGTGATGGAGGAGGTCATGATGCTTTCCAGGAAGGCATAGTAAAAAGTCATCATGATGGGTGTGCTGACTCCAAAGGAGTTGAGTTTCCTAAGGAGGTATAGCATGTTGGCAGAGAATTTCAGGAGGTTGTTGAAGATGGTTCCCAGGTATTTGCACTCCTCAATACCTCCACTGGCTTCCCGTGGATGGTGGTGGTGACTGAAGCAGTCAGATCCCTCGGCCTACTGGAGAAGGTCACCACCATCTCTTTGGTTTTGCCTATGTTCAATTCAAGTCTGGAGCTGTCACACCACTCTACAAACTCCTGAAGAGTGGGCCTGTGGTGTTGTGAGGGGCCTGACAGCAGTGACAGGAGAAATGTTTTGTCAGCATATTCAACCAGGTGACAGTTGGGCTGTGTGGATCTGCAGTCATCGGTGTAGAGGATGAAGAGCAGGGGGGAGAGCACACAGCCCTGGGGGGAGCCAGTGGAGGTGGAAAAGAGACCGGAAAGAGACTTGTTGACCCCAACTTTCTGAGTCCTGTTGGTCAAAAAGTCCAGTATCCACAGAAATAGCTGATCATCCAGGTGAAATCGGGTGGAAAGTTTAATGGCCAGGATATGAGGCTGCAGAGTGTTGAACGCTGATGAGAAATCAGCAAAAAGAAGTCTGGCGGAGGAGTCAGGGAGCTCCAGATGTTTGTGGATGGAGTCCAAGATGAAGATTTTGGCAGCATTTACATTACTTCAACATCATACCACCGATACAACATCATTTTATTGCTATATAAGTGCTTTCTTATGTATTCAGTTAAAAAAAAGTTCCTTGAGACAGATTGAGTGCATTAAAGAACTTAAGAATTTAAAATAAACTTCCCCTCTCTCATTCTCAGTGTTTGCTGCCTCTCTGCAAACACTTCTGCATATTTAGGCTTCTTATGTATTTATTTATATTTTGCACCATCTCTGCTGCTCTTAGTATTGCCATGTAACTCATTTTAATATTGTTTTAGCAATGCACTGCTCTGCACTTGTATTTGTGAAAATTATTTTTAACCATTTAAAATAAGATCAGTGCAGCAGTTTGTTGTATGTGTGAGTCTACATAGCTGTACCCAGAGGATTGTGATCACCAACATTATATATGTCATAAAAAATGTTGTCTTTTTCTTCAAGCACACCATTGTTTTTCTTGTGACATTACCAATAAGTTTGATGTGTCACATGGCCCTCTTCCTATTGAAAAAACAAAAGTTGTATCCAAGATGACCGACTTCTAGGAGTCAACAATCCCCTTATAGAATGAATACTCCATTAAGACCATAAAAATACTAAATATGTTATTGTACATGACTGAATATCTTTTTTTCTACATGATTGTCCTTGGAATAGCTTTTCATACCTTTAACAGAGACATATACACAGAGTCCAGCCTCTGCTGTTAGTTCTCGCTCACTGAGAGTAACACAGTACCTCTGTCTCTACAGAGTTGTTGTCCCCAGGCTGGGGCACCTGTGAATGCAAAGGGAACGATAAATATAGTGAGAAAAACTACTTAGTTTTCAACAATAAACATGATATCTAATTAAAGATGTTAGAGTAACTTTTATGTTTTACACAAGCTGCTTGTTTGTGCTGTAGTCTACACAACTACTATGGTTATATCCAGGCTATGAAATATTCCTGGATAATGATTAACAATATAACCATAGATTAATTTAAAATGGCACACAAGCCAACTGATGATAGTGAAGACACACATTTATGATGAATTCATCTATCTCACATGCAAATATTAAAATAAATACAAATAAAAATATAGCAGAATTACAGGAAAGGAGAAGATTCAAACCTGTGTCAGCAATGCTGAGCCGACCAGATTAGGTCTTATTTACCATCACTGTTACAGATGTGAAGTCTTTATATTTATTCTTTTAAAAAGATATTTTTAAGCACATTTAACACATTTTTCTGTGTTTTACTTTATTCTTCAAACCTGTCTTCTCATTGATGTCTGCTCACTCTCTAAACTGAAGTTTTTCATTCTCGCCTCGTCTCTCTTTTCTTTGTCTTCTTCCTCCTTCTTGCAACAACATTTCAGGAAGTTTCTCAGGAAACCACTCAACTTTACAGACTGACATTCAAGTTCTTCTGTACGCTATATGTTAATTATTTATTAAATAATTTACCCTTTTAAAACATACTGTTATCTTGAGATTTTGATATTCAAGTAATGGTGCTCCAATAAGTTTTATATATACATATATTCACATGTGTGAACGTGTGTGTGAATGGGTGAATGACTGAATGTAGTGTAAAGCGCTTTGGGGTCCTTAGGGACTGAGTAAAGCGCTATACAAATGCAGGCTATTTACCATTCATATAGCATCAAATCATCATCATTCACCTCATGGCCCTTTCCACTGTCAAGTAAGGAGTGAAAACTTGATCTGTATATTGCGTTTAGCTTGTCTTTACATCACATTCAACATCATACAATCGATCTAAAATCATTATATCTTTATACGTGTTTCTTGTGTAGTCAGTGTAAAAAAATGTTCCTTGAGACAGATTGAATGCTTTAAAGGGCAAGAGCTCTTTAAAGCTTCATTCGTATCCATTTACATTGTGCAGCATTTCTGCTTTTCTTAGTAATTGCTGTGCAATCGTATTTTAACATTGCTATATTAATGCATTGGTGGGTACTTTGTATTTGTGGAAATTATTCTTAACCATTTAAACAAAGATCAGTGTAACAGTTTTATGTGTGTGTGTCAGGTGCCTCAGTGGTTAGGTTTTGTTTACTCTTTGTTTTGAATCTTTGTTATGGTTTTGGCTTTTGTATTTCATGTTTCATAGGTATTATTTAGCACCTTTTACAAGTTGTACTGGGTTATGGTATTATGATTATGATAACCATTAAGTGAGCTGTGTATTTGTGTTTATCAGCCACTTAAATTTGGGTACAAAAAAAATGAGAATATTTGTGTTTGGTCAGTTATTTCTTTGTTGTAACAATCCCTTTTGGCAGGAAATTTTATATAGTAAGAAGGCCTGTTTTGTTTTGTTCCCCACACATTTGTATGCTGAGTAGCAGAGTTGAGTGTATAGATTGTATCTATGAAAAACTTGCCAAATCTTCTCTACCAAGGCCAAACAACTTACTCTGACTCAAAAAGCATATCAGCACAGAAACCTCTGACCAGCTGGGAAGTTAGTTCATGGGTGATGATATATGTGTCATGGTTCTGGATCCTTTTGACCCAGCTTTTTGAGTTTTAGTGATATTTTGTATAATGGTTTAAGTTTTAGGTTCATTAGTAGTTCGAAGTTAGTCGGTTTTGAGTTTCTTCTATTCCCTGTTTAGATTCTTGTTTATTAGGTTCCCTAGTGTCTCTGTCCTCTGCTTCTCTCTCAGTGTTTCCGTGTTGATGCGTGTTTGTGTGGGCATCCTTGTGTCTTGTTATAGAGTGTCTCTGCTTTCAACTAACACTTCCTCTTTCTTAAGTACCTCTAATGTACTTCCTCTGTCTTTGTGGTCAGTTTCAAGTAGTTTTATCACATTGCTCAACTGCTGTTCAGAAGCATATACTTCAAAAATGTAAATGTAAACATTTTATACCAAGCCTTTTCAGGAAAACTTATTAATACATCTTTGTATGCAAAAGTTTCCCAGATCACCTGCACAGCCTGTTCTGAGCTCATGTATATGGAGGAGGCTGCACCAAATATACTGATCAATCTTCTTTAGTGTGCCCTGAGATAAAAGGGAGCTGATAAAGCTGATAAAATACCATTGATTAATTTACTTAGGCATGGTTCACAAACACGCTGTACCCAGACTCAACAGAAGAGACTCCACAGTGGTCAACACAGCGTAGAAGATCGACTGCCCCCTCCCCTGTTTCACATCTATACATCCCACTGCCTCAGAGCTGAGGAGATCACAAGAGACTCCACCCATCCTGCAGCCCACCTGTTGTACTTGCTGCCCTCAGGTAGACACGACAGGTGTATCCAAATCAGGACTAGCAGACTAGCAAACTGTTTCGCGACCACACTACAGAACACACACACACTCACCCTACCCCAACACGTCAGCACCTCTCACACACATACAATGCATAGACACAACACACACACACACACACACACACACACAC